GTTTTTTTTTTGTTTTTTTTTTACACAATACAATGTGATACAGTTGTCCAAATCACAAGATAATGACAGGGTTGTAAAAATTTCACTTATAATGTACTATATGCCATGTGAATCAGTAATAAGACATTAGCTTAAAGTTGGGTGGACCAGTTGCTATCAAGCCAACTCTATGTGTGTTGGAGTAGAACTGTGCTCCACGGGGTTTTCAGTGGCTAATGTTTTGGAAGTAGATCACCAGACCTTTTTTCTGAGGCACCTCTGTGTGCACCTGAACCCCCAACCTTTCAGTCACTTTAACACACTTGCACCATCAAAGGAGTTGGGGGACGGGTTTCATTTTTTTTTTCATTCCAGTGTAGCTCTGTTGTCTAACTTGGATGCTTTTCACAATTGTGAGACCCAGTTTGATGGCCCTTCTAGCCCCTTGTGAGAGACCCTGGGTCTGGTCAAGAATAAGAAGGAAGGGGCCTTGGTAGTGGGGTCAGACTAGCAACTCATAAGCCATCTGTCTTTCTCCTCCCTGCCTGGTTGCTGTTGGGCAGAGCCAGGTTCTGCTTGGAATCTCTATCTGGATGCCAGGTGAGCCAGCTGTGAGTGGCTGTCATGGCAGGGACAGGTACTCAAGTTTCAGATCCAAATATAAGGTAGAAAGACACCTTATTCTGGGCAGTGATGCCAAGCCTTGCTCAGTATCCCCCAGCATATCTGCACAAGTAGCCTCCCAAGGAACCTCTCAGGCTAATCCTTGACATCCATGTAGCACTCCTACTTTTAAAGGTGCCAGGTTCCCTGTGAGCACAGTTCTGTGAAAACTCACATCTGAGTCCAGGAAACACTACCTCCAAGGGCATCAAAATAGAACTATGTCAAGTCCTAAAACATCAGTGCTGGCATGTAATAGGCAACAGATGGGTGGATCCTGAATAGAAGTGGAAGAAGATGCATAGAGAAATCAAGTGACTTCTTGAGCATCATAGAGCTATTGACAGAGCTGGCATTTCAACTAAGCTGGCCTGACCACCATTGAGTTCTTTCCACCACCTGTGCTGCATGGTAATCTATACAAACACAATCCTATTGCAGCTGGACCAATGGTGAGCAGTGCTGAACTCATCAGTCATCTGAAATGGAAAAAGGAGGTTCTCTAGGTGAGGCAGAGTGCTCTCTGTACTAGCCTGGCCACATGCACTTGTGCAGGGAGAAAGGAAGCCCAGAGCAGGCTATGCCAGGGGAGGCATTGGTGTGAAGAGAGAATGCAGGAGTGATCATAAAGGAAGATTTGGTGAATAACAGAGTCCTGCTCCTAGGAAAGAAGAGGGGACAAGAGTCAACTGTAGACCTACTCCAAAGATGCTAAAGAAGCCAAGGGCTGGGTTAAAAAGAGCAACAGTGATGGACCTAAGTAATGGCTGCCAGGATCAGGGACAAGAGCTACAAGGTTTATATCTATTACCTGTTATGTCAACAGTAGCCCCTGGAGGCTCACTGGGCTAAGTAAATAACTCAAGGTGAGACAGTTAGCTGTTGAGCCAGAATTCAAAATGAGCTATGTTTGACTTCCAAATAGCCCAGGCCAGTTTACGTTGGACAACCCCATCTGGATGCAAGCTCTAGTCTGCCTGAAGTCTAAGTTACCACTTTTTCTCACCTTAAAATCTAATGCACCTTTCTTCGTGTTAACCTACAGTCCACAGGCAGAAGGAGCTCTGGTAGGGTAGTGCCTAAGACATTTGACTGTTAACCAGAAGTCTGGCAGTTCAAACTCACCAGACACTCTGTGGAAGACTGGACAATCTACTTCCGTAAAGATTTACTGCCTGAGAAACCCAAAAGGGGTTGCTATGAGTCAGAATCGACTCGACAACAGTGAGTTTGGTTTGTTGTTATAGGTAGATATAATTACCTATCCTCACTACCAGTTGTTGTGGAGTTAACTCAACTCATGGAGACCCCATGTGCATCAGATTAGAACTGTGGTCTATAAAGTTTTCCATGGTTGACTTTTTGGAAGGCCTTTCTTCCAAGTTTGGAGGTAGACTCCAACCTCCGACGTTTTGATTACTAGCCTAACGTGTTAATTTTTTGCACCACTCAGGAACTCCTATAGCTACCTATAGCTACACTTATGCCCATAGCTGCCAGAGTGCTCTTTCTAAAATGAGCACCTCCTTGCCTAAAACCCCTTATAATAAGCCCAATTCCTGATCCTGGCCTACCAAGTCCTGCCTGAGCTGGATTTTACATTCTTCTGATGTCATCTCATCCTTTCCTCTACTCACAACACTCCCCTTACACTGGCCTCCTTTCTGTTCTCTAAACCCACCAGATACTTTCCAACCTCTGCAAGTACTGTGTCTGCTTAGGCTCTTCACCCAGTTCTTCCGAGTCCTAGCTCATTGTGATTCTTTATGTCTCAGCCCAAATGCCTCCCCCAGTTCACCCCCTAGCTCATCATCCTGCCTCTAGTCCTCAGGGTGCTCATCATTTATCTTAATTTGTAAGCATCTTGTGTGTTAACTTGATTTTTGTTTGTATGTTTTAGCCTTACCACCTACTCTCACCCCATGAATGTAAGGAAGTGCCGTGGGGCAGGGATCTCAAGGTCTCATTCCCTGTGGCTTTGCTGTTGCACTGCAGAGAACCTGGCACCCAGCAGGTGCTCACAAGTATTGGCTGAATGGACGGACACTAAATTCCACAGTAGCAAAGAGCCCATGAGGTCCCTATCCATTGGGCTCGAGTTAATATTATTAGGCCACATCTTACAGCCACTAGGCTAGTTACTCTCTTGGAAACCATGCCTTTTTTTTTTTTTTTTTTTTTTTCCAGAGTCAGCCCTAAACAGCAATCATTGAGACCTGCCTGTTCTCAAAGACACAGGGACCCAACCTGGACAAATTCTGTCACTGTGGGGAAGTCAGCTTCAACTCACATTCTTATTTATGTCTCTGTGTCTAACTTGGGTTGGGAAGCCCCCTCCATCCTATGGAGGTTGTTTTAAATCACTTTAAACTGTACCTCTTGTACACAGAGGGCACCTCTCTCATACTCAGGTAATGCAATATCATACTATGTAATAGTTCCCCTTATTCAAGCCCTCTTCAAGGCGACTGCCCCCCATGTCCATGAGATTGCACCTAGTTTAAGATCCTTTTCCTCTGGGATTCCTAAAGTCCATCTTAAAGATTATAATCTCCACCTTCACCCTAAAGTAAAGAATTCTACACTATTTTTTCTCTGATTATCTTAACCCAAAGTGATTATGACCCTGACTCAGCTGGGAAACTAAGTGCTCAGTCCTCATATAAGTTTTGCCAGTAAGGGGTAGGATTGGACTGGGAGAGGAGTGGGGAATGGCTCAGTCTTCCATGCCATTGTCATAGGTAGTGTCCACTGTCCATCGACCAGAGTGGCTACTGCAGGTGAGCAGAGCCGGCACTGAGAAACCTCACCGCCAAGACAGGAACAACAGGTCTGAGTACCTGCCTGTTTTAGGTCCCATCTGACTGAGAGAGATGAAAGGCATCCCCTTCTTGCACGCAGCGCAGCGTGGTACGACTAGACACACCCTTCCTTGTCACTCACATGCTCCTACCCCACTCCATCTTCTGTCAGCCCAGCTTCCAGTAGCTACAGTTCCAGACATTCCTTCCAAACTGTTAAGAATAGACTTGGCACCCAATTGTGTCTATCACCCAAAAGCAAGCAAAATCATCTTTGTAAGCAGGCAGGCTCTGGGGTGAGTACCCCCCACACACGCTTTCCCAGACTATTTCTTCACTTCCTATCCAACTTCCTCTGCCTGGAATGCTTTCCTTTAGTATAACTCTATGCTGCAAATGCCACCATAATAGCACTTGAAACTGAGAACATATTCCCACCCAGGGTAATCTGGACTCAGCAGTGGTTGGCAACTGCATTTGGGGGCTGCTGGGAATACAGAGCTTTCCTCGTTTCCTGTGATTCTTCTGCGATCCTCTGGAAATGGCTGAGGGCAGCTCCTTGCCTTTTTTTCTGAGCTTTGATTCCTAACTAAATCAATAGGAACTGAGGTATCTTCTAACCTAAGCTGCCCAGAGGGCTAGACAACAGGCTGAGTGGGGCCTAACCAGCTAACAAAACAGTTCCAGATGATAGAATCATCCTTAAAAAAAAAAAAAAAAAAAAAAAACTTTTTTAAAACTTCCATGCCTACATGCAGTTGTTGAAGATATACATTGCTACAAATTTATTCAGGGTCCTTTTGCAACATCTAGCAAATCTGAAACGTAAAACTCTTTGGCAGGAAATTTTTACTTCTAAGAATATATGCTTAATATAAATATAATGAAATCATGAAAAAATAGAGGGAAAGCAATGATTCTACAACATTGTTAAATGAAAAGCAAGGTACAATGTGCCACATATAATGCAGTACCATTTTCTTGAGAGAATATGCATAATACACGCATATGTATACATAGGAGCAAAGAAAATGTATGGGACGCAACATAAAGTTCTCAGCATGATGGCTCTAGAAAGAGGAATGAGGACTTCTCATTTTTACTTCATAGGCATCTATACTATTCAACCACCACCTCTCAGCTTATCATGCTCTGGTGGCTTGCATGTTGCTATGATGCTGTAAGCTATGCCACTCACATGTCAAACACCAGTGGGGTCACCCATGTTGGACAGATCTCAGTGGAGTTTCCAGACTAGGAAGAAAGACCTGGTGATCTACTTCTGAAATTAGCCAACGAGAACCCTACGGATCACAACAGAACACTGTCTGACTGAACAAACATGCCGATGATCATGGATGGTGCAGGGCCGGGCAACGTTTCATTCTGTTATAAATAGGGTTGCCATGTCTCAGAGCTGACTCGACAGCAGCCAGCAACTTTTCACAATCTGCATATATTACTTCCACAATTTATAAAATACCTAAGCTCTAGACCTACTCCTGGGGACTCTGTGATTCTGTAGTTCATGTGTATTTTTTAAACATGCTGCAAGTGATTTCACTAGACTGTCAAGAACCCCAGGATGCTGTAGAGGGTTCTGTGTAAGGGTGACTGAAATGTATCTTGGATGATACAAAGACAGGAACGAAACAGAAGACAAAAAGGAGAAGGGGGTCTCAGAGCAAAGAGACAGTGAGCTACAGAGAGAGAGAGAAAGTTAAAAAAATAAATAAATAATAATCCTAATACACTCTCGGGAGCTCTGGTAGCATAGTCCCTAAGGCACTTGACTGCTAACCAGAAAGCTGGTGGTTCAAACCCACCAGCCACTCCTCGGAAGGAAGACAGGGCAATCTACTTCCGTAGTGATACTGCCTCGGAAACCCAAGGAGGGGTCACTATGAGTCGGGGCCGACTCGACGGCACATAACAACTAACAACAATACACTCTAATCCCCAAATCTTCCCCAACTCACTCATATAATCCCTGGCTAGACAAAGAATAAAGGAGTCCTGGTGGCACACTGGTTAAGCACCCAGCTGCAAACCATCAGCTGCCTTATGAGACAAAGATATGGCAGTCTGTTTCCATAAATATTTACTGCCTTGGAAACCCTATGGGGCAGTTCTACTCTGTTCTATCTACCCTGACTATGAGTCAGGATCAACTTGATGATAATGGATTTATTTTTTCATTTTTAGACAAGGATAATTAAATATTAAGAATATTGCTACTCAGAGCTGATTCACTGAAATAATTTCTAGGTTAATGTCTTGATTACTGAGAAGGATAGAGAGGCAAGAATATCAGAACTTTGGATTACCTGTTGAAAACAGGCTTGGACAAGGTTTTCAGGAAAGAGATTTCTAATGAGATCCAGAAAGGCATCCAGGCTGGACACTTCATCATTTTTCTTGCCAGGCCCCAGCTGCTTCTTGAGTTTGGGGTTCCCTGGGTGGATGGCCAAGACCAGGATGACCCCCAGCACAGCAGCGATGACGGTTGTGGACATGTAATACACCATGGCTCTTGTGCCTAAGCGGCCACTGGCTTTAGCATCCAGGCCAGACAACCCTGGATTGAAAAGAAATTCAGAAGGTTCAATTATACTATGATTCTATTAACGAACCATCCCTACAACGCTTGGCTCCACATTACTCAAATTCACTAATTTATCGACTACTGTTGAGTATTTATTTAGTCATTCCCACGGTTCATAATTCTATTTTCCAAGGACATTTTTGAGATTCTAGAAAACTGAGGTGAGCTAGAAGAGATGGTCCTCTGATTCTGAATTTACAAACTGGTCTGTGACAATTCTTTTTGTCAATCTGCAATAGTGAGTTAAAACAAAGTTGGATATATTTCATTTTAAATTCTGAGGTTGTGTCTTTCTCTTTTTTTTTTTTTTGTTTTATGATATCATTTCCATTATGAAGTGATGGTGCTATTATGTGCTAGATTTTTACCTCTTTATTATTGTTTTTTAATGACCTCACTTGGGAAAATAAAAAGTTGATGACTTTATGTCATGCCTCAAAACTTTTGAATATATTACTTGTGGTTGAAATCCAGAAGTCTGAGAAGTGATGTGGGCAGCCCTTCCATTTCACATCATGATGAAGACCCCACAGCGCCTGACCTCGTGCAGGGATTGGAGAACATGTGTGTAAAGCACCCTGCAAATGGTGGGCACTTATCTATCACATGGGAGTGGGGAGCCTTCTGTGATTCTTAGAGGAAATTCCAAGCAAGTCACAAAAACTCCAGCCTCCACTGGGTTTTTTCCCAGTTGTTCCTTCAATTTTTCCACTTCCTGGTTTCAGTTTCTGCTTTTTATAGAGAATGATATTGAACTCTTTACTGGGAATTAGTTATTTTTGTTGTGGGAGAGGAAGTCACTGACATTAATTTCTCTGAATTAAGCTGACCCACAAATGGCCCACTCCTCCTCACAACCTAAAGTCTAAATTCTAGCCAAATGGAGGCTGAGTTTCCTTACCAAGCTGGCCAATGTACAATCTGTTAAATAGGTGTAGGGAGGATTTTCTCTGGTTCAGAGAAGGAACATTTAAGACACAGCTTCACTTAATCTGTGGCTGAATGATAAACCAGCCTCTGCTCAGCCCCTGAATTCCCACAGCTGAATCCCTTTGGGTCCAGTCACTGGGTCTGCTGATCTTCAAGCTATGAACTTGTAGAATAATCTGAGTTAGTGAATCTCTAAGAGTTACTGGCCTCATTTCCTTTATGAAGTGGTCAGTCACTCTTCCAAGGTCACCTAGTTCATTGGCACCCAAATGCTAATGTCCAGCTTCTCACCCTTATCTCAGAAGTTAGTGTCAGTTAGACACTAACTACACCAATTTAAAACCTACTAAAGCAGTATTATTTGGTGAGGAAGAAACTGCCACTATATGCTCATGGAAGGAAACACACACACACACACACACACACAAATTCAAAGGGCTTTCAAATTTCTCATTTATTTTTAATGCCCATTTCCCTCCATGTAGAACCAAATAATAAGAAGAAAATTTCCTTCTCTATTTACTATCTTTATCATTATCTGAACAAAATTTAACTTCAAAAATTGAGAAAAGAATATGTTAAAATTTAAAATCACTATAGAACCATCGGGAGCTCTGGTAGCATAATGGCTAAGACACTTGCCTGCTAACCAGACGGCTGGTGGTTCAAACCCACCAGCCACTCCTCGGAAGGAAGGTTGGGCAATCCTACTTCCGTAGTGATACTGCTCGGAAACCCAAGGAGGAGTCGCTATGAGTCGGGTTTGACTCGACGGCACATAACAACAACAACAACATAGAAACCATCACTTATAACATATGACTGTGTTTCCTTTGCATCTTTTATTGCTGGATAGACACGTGGACTGATCAATAAGATGGCAACTGCTTATTTTAGAATTGATTATGCCTGTTTTAGATACAAGAAAACCAAGGTTCTGAAGTGAAATGACACAAAAGGTCAAATTCACTCATTCAACCAAATTGAGATTATGGAGTTAATCCAAAAGCAAGAAAGGAGGATGACCCACTCTGGCCAGTGTCCAGAGAGGTGATCTTACCTGTGATTAAGCTGGAGATGATTAGAGGGAGAATGAGCATCTTTAGCATTCTCATGAGTATGTCCCCTGGGAAGGCTATTAACATCACCACATCAGGGTGGATAGGAGATGCCAAACGAAGAAGCCCTCCACTTACTGCCCCCAGAATGACACCTATAAGGGAGGGAAAAAAAAGTGAGATTTTATTTTTGCCCTAGTCAAATGAATAGCTCTGGGAATCTATTTCAGGGACTTTGGCCTTTTTCATACTTCTCCATTATCAGAGGATGAATAACATGTAACAAAAATATCATTACATAGTAAGGCTGATTTTGATGACTAGTCAGAGAACTTTCTTAGCTCTAACTGTTCTAAAATGCAGCAATGGACAAGTCAAGGACAGCCTTCTCAAAGTCTTATGACAAGTTGAGGTGGCAACTTGACCCAACTTCTTTGAAGATATTGTCCACTTAAAGAGTCACAAGGATTCCAAGTGGAAATGACCCACAGCACCAGATATTGTTTCCCCTCACAACCTAGGGCCAGCCACATGGCATGGTATCTTATGTATTTCTTCCCTTTTCAAATGGATGCCAGAAAAAAATAAACATTTGATAGCTAGTATAAGTTTCTTTATTCATCTCTTTTCTTTGGCTTTCTATAATTTCCCCTATGGCTCTACCTCAATAAGCTTTGTGCTTAATTTCTATGTCTTTTTACATAAACTTTACACTTGCTGGTCTTATGGAAGATCATCAAGGGATCTAAAAATGTGTAATTTGGGAGGAAATAATTTGGGCAGAGATGTTGATGGGAGCCTTTCACTTTGCATACTTAAAGATCCCACAGAAAAACTTCAGTTTCTCTAAATGGGTGGCCAACATAAAGGATCTTTGCAGAAACCACAATAAGGTCATAACCACTGGCTATTAGTGAGAGAGGGAGTTCCTGGGGTTATATGGGTCATGGTGTTAACTCCAGTAATGCAGAAGGTGTCAGTCAGGTAGCTAAAGCCCAATCTTTTTCTCTTCTACAGCTGAAAAACTTACTGTCCAAATTCTTCCAGATCTATGATGAATAAAATCCACTTATGCAGTGGGCATCCCTTGGAAAATTCTACCACTGCCTGTGGTTTTCCTTTATTTGAGTGAACTGAAATGTGACAAGTTCTTGGTCCTGACCCTGGTTCATTGACATCCAAGATGATGGAGTCAACAACAGGCCACAGAACAGAGGGGGTATGGGGGGAAAAGGGGCAGGAGATGAGTTGCTCATTATTTCTCTATGTAGCCTCAGTGAGAGCTGAATAACAAGGGAGGAATTGAGACAGGAAATGGTGTTGTCATTACAAGAAACTGCAATTTCTTCCATGTTCAATAAACATTGGTTGAAAACCTAAGACCCAGAGTGTATCAACAGTCCACAAGAAAAGAACAACCCTAGCCTGGATGAAGCCTAAAGAAGAGGAGTAAGACTCGCAAGACTGGGCTGGAGCAGGTCAAGGTATCAGGACAAGCCTCTTCCACATTGGTCTCATTAACTAATGTGCTAGATTAATCAAAGTTTATGCTATGTTCAAAGAACATCTTCGGGAGCTCTCTTAGTGGAGCTCCCTGCAACAGTTGCCTTTATCTTGAACACAGCTATTTCTCTAAACGTGTTTGGCAGATCACTGGAATCACCTAGAAGGTTTGTGAAGATGCAGCTTCCAGGGCTTCATTGCAAACAGGCCAAAGCAAGGTCTCCATGAGTATGGCTTGGGAATCTACATATTATGTGCATACAAAAATTTGAGAACCACTAGAACTTGAAGAAGGAAAACAAATGGCCAGGGCAAATGAGGTGGAAGATGACATCATTGCAGTAAAGCTTGGGCACAAATGGAGACTTAGGCAAGTGGCCACCTTTGCAGTGAAAGGGCTAGATGCCCAGAGCCAAGAGAGACCCAGAGAACAGGGTTAAGGGTGGACAGCTCCACACGTACCCAACACCGTCAGTGTGAGCAGCAGGTTCTTCCCCAGCTTGTCGCACAAGCGCAGGCCCAGGTGCC